AGCTGTCTTATGTGGAACTCTGATATTACTTTATGTTGTTTTATTATTACTTGATGATATTTTGTCTTTACTTAATATGGTTTTGACATGACGTAATGATGTTTTGATATAACTCAATATGGAATAGTCATAAATAATAATAATAATAATAAATTCTTTATTTAAAGAGGGTAACTCAATTAGAAGTAGTCTAATTTTCATTGAGGCCCTCAAACAAAATACATGTATACAGTAAACATTCATACATTCATACATTAAAATACAATATATATTACTAGTATATACACAATTCAATCATTCAAATATACAAATGGCAATAAATGGCAATAATTGGTAAAGTTTGATTAAATTTTCTTATTCTTACAATAAAAGAAAGAAAACAAATTATTCGACTTGCATAAAATTTTCAAGAAAATGATTATAACAATGTTTCTTAAATAATTCCACATTTCGACAATTTTTTATTTTGAGTGGTAAATTATTCCATACCTTTGTTGCAGAATAATGAAAAGATTTTTTATAAAAATTTGTATTTGGTCTTGGAACAAATAGATCATTATTAGAGACAGATTGTAAGTTGTGGTGTTGCACATCATTAATTTATAGCATTGTTAAGTAATCAGGTGTTAGTCCATTTACAATTTTATACATTAGAATTGATTGTTGGTATTTTGTTCTTTTGTAAAAGATAGCCATTTTAAAGATGAAAACATAAAATTAGATGGAACAGAAATATCGCATTCAAGTATAATTCTTGCTACTCTTTTTTGAAGTTTTATGATTCTATCTGAATCTTTTTGTAATAAATTTCCCCAAACTGAACTACAATAGTCTATATATGGTAGAATAGTTGCATTATAAAATAGTTGTCTTGTGTGTATAGGCAAATATACTTTAATTTTAAACAAAAGTGATATTTTAGATGAGATAATCTAGCATATACGATCAACATGATCCTCCCAGCTTAAATTTTCATCAATGTCAATTCCAAGTAATTTGAAAGAATGGACATTTTCAATACATGTTTCATTGACGGTAATACATAATTCTGATAGTTGTGCAAGTTTTTGTTTTGAACCGAATTTCATACACTTTGTTTTTTGTGCATTAATTTTCATACTGTTATTGTTACACCAAGATTGTATAGCATTTATATAATTTTGCAATATGCTGTTTATTTTTTCAATGTTTTTATTATGAAAATGCAATGTTGACTCATCAGCATATAAATCCATGTCAGATTGTTTAACATGAAGTGGTTAATCATTTATATAAACTAAAAATAACAGAGGACCTAAAATAGAACCTTGAGGCACTCCATATTTTACAAACGATTTATCAGATTTAATGTTAGCGTATTGAAATTCTTGTTGTCTCTCAGACAAATATGATTTTATCCAATCTATCATATTTTCTCCGATATGATAAAATTTTAACTAAAAGTATGGCATGGTTAATAAGGTCAAAAGCCTTACTGAAATCTAAAAACACAGTACCAACTATTTCTCCATTGTCTAAATATTTTAACCATTCATCAATTAGGGGGGGGGCAAGGGGTTTAACTGTTATGCTGTTTTGGGGCAATTTAACTCTTTGTTATCTGTTATTCTGAAAATATATTTGCTGTTAGCTGTTATTGGCTTATTCCTTGTTAGCTGTTATAGGACTATTATTTTTTTTGTTATCTGTTATTGTGAGAATGTATTTGCTGTTAACTGTTATTGGAAATTGGAATGTTAACATTTTGACAGCCAATTTTTGGTAGAAATTGAAAATCATTCAACATTTGGTTCTTACCACTGGTAACTTAGTATAGTGGTCCCTTATCTGGAGAGGGATTCTAGTAACATTCACATCATTCATTTAAACATATTAAAATCAGTCGGGTCCAGGACAATTCCAGTATATCTTATTGTAATCCTTTGTAATAAATTCCATTTTCTAAGAACATGTATTTAGAGTTTCCTAGAATTCAGGTTTACTCAATGGATGATTATTTTTTGTTATGGAATTCAATACTTTTTTTCGGCATTTTTTTTGTGCTTTTAAAGAAACTGACACATGCTTGTAATAAATAGGGGGATAAGGGGGATCCAATAACAGCAAAACAGCAAATTGATTTGGCTTAAAACAGATAACAAGGAATTGAAAAAGGATAAAAACAGATAACAGTAAATGAAATACTAAAATCATTCGGGTCCAAGACCAATCCAGCATATCTTATTATAATCCTTTGTAATAAATTCCATTTTCTATAAACATGTATTTTAGAGTTATCTAGAATGGGTTTACTCAATGTAGGATAATAATTTTGTATTATCCAAAACAAGTAGACTCAACCCTTGGATCACTATCTTTTGTAGATGATCTACTTTTGAGTAAAAAAGGTCTACAGAACAGTTTAAACAAATTTAGTATTTTCTGTGAAAATTGGCAACTTACTCTAAATATAAATAATTTAATTTTGGATGTAACGCGTCTTCTGATTGGCTGACGGTGTTTTGTTTATCAGCTCATAGACATAACTTACTCATGTGACCGTGACGTCGTCAACGTTTTTTCATGATTTACTCCGGTTTTAAATGGAATTTAGAATTAAATTATAAGGAATTACTGTAATATTTTTTCTGTCTATTCGAAATAACATAAAAAATGTGGTGCACACTTTTAAAATGACACTTTAAAATAACCCGCTTCAGTGTGCACCACATTTTTGATGTTATTTCTTCATAGACAGAAAAAATATTACAGTCATTCCTTAAATAATTTAATTTTGGATGTAACGCGTCTTCTGATTGGCTGACGTTGTTTTGTTTATCAGCTCATAGACATAATTTTGTCATGTGACCGTGACGTCATCAACGTTTTTTCATGGTTTACTCCTGTTTAAAATGGAATTTAGAATTAAATTATAAGAAATGACTGTAATAATTTGTCTGTCTATTCGAAATAATATAAAAAATGTGGTGCACACTGTAAAATAAACCGCTTCAGTGTGCACCACATTTTTGATGTTATTTCTTCATAGACAGAAAAATATTACAGTCATTCCTTAAATAATTTAATTTTGGATGTAACGCGTCTTCTAATTGGCTGACGTTGTTCTGTTTATCAGCTCATAGACATAATTTTGTCCTGTGACCGTGACGTCATCAACGTTTTTTCATGATTTACGCTGGTTTAAAATGGAATTAAGAATTAAATTATAAGAAATGACTGTAATATTTTTTCTGTCTATTCGAAATAACATAAAAAATGTGGTGCACACTTTAAGATAACCCACAACGCGGGTTATTCAGTGTGCACCACATTTTTGATGTTATTTCTTCATAGACAGAAAAAATATTACAGTCATTCCTTAAATAATTTAATTTTGGATGTAACGCGTCTTCCGATTGGCTGACGTTGTTTTGTTTATCAGCACATAGACATAATTTTGATAACCACATCAAAGACATAATTCAAATAAAACAAAAGTCCTTGTTCCGCGATAGAAAATTTAATTACGAACTCATATAAGATAGCTCGAATTTCAACTCAAAATCTTAATTAATCTAAATGAGACTTAAATTCGAATCTTACTCAAACTCTACCTCAAAAAGTGACTTAAATTTAATGTTGTAACTAGAACTCTACCTCAGTTAAATGTGACTCAAACTCGAAGTCCAACTCGAAACTCAATGCTAACTAAAACTTTAATTCTAATAATGACTTGAATTCGAAATCGAAGACTAACTCAAAGTTTAACTCAAACAGTAACCCGAACTTTAATTTGAACTCTAATTCGATAGATGGCCACACTCATCCAAGGCACATACAACATGGAAATCTATCTAAAAATAGAACAGGTTTTTCCGAATTGGTCACGTGATTTTACCTCATCAAGTAATGGGATAACCACATCAAAGAATGACAGGACCACATCAAATAATGAAACAAACACATCATGTAGTGTAAAATCGTCAAATTTTGAAACATCATTGCGTAACGTTAAAACCATATAAAGAATAGGCAAATCATCATTACAAAATAACAAAACAACATCATGTAATGAAACAACTACATAACGTTAAGTCACATTCACATCAAGTAATGTTAAAACCACATTGACTAATGACACAACCACATTAAATAATGGTGAAACCACATCGAGTAATGACAAAACCATATTGAGTAATGACAAAATTATATCAAGTCAATACGAAACCATATCGTGTAATATCGAAATATCATTAAGTAATGACTATTCCATATGAGTTATATCAAAACATTATTACGTAATGTCAAAACCATATTAAGTAAAGACAAAATATCATCAAGTAATAATAAAACAACATAAAGTAATATCAGAGTTCCACATAAGACAGCTGTGGCGTTCCATAATATTTCAATAAACACAAACAATCTCTTAATACATGATACAAAATATCAAATAGCATGGATATAAAAATTAACGTGACCTTTCGATTAGACCCTGTCGTGCCGAATGATTTAACCGCCAAATCACACAAAACACTTAACCTAACACGCCATCTATGGGCAGACAATTCAGAAGAAAATCATTTCATTCTAATTCATAAACTCAACCGACTGAAATCATATTTCTTCTTTCGTTAAAACCCATACATCACAACCACAGATAATACTCATAATAATAAATAACAAAAAAGAGTAAAGTGCAATACCACACGACAGAGCCGAGGGCCGAAAACACAAAGAACGGGAAAATTTTAAGGTGTTCTATATCATGTAATAAAAGTCTGAAATTAATGCGACAAAAACTATAAACCTAAATTTTTTGATACTTTAAGCAAATCATCTAAAGAATCCTTCACGTAACCATCTTTGACCGTTTCGGAACGCCATCTACCGTGTCTCTTAAAAAGACGATCTGGTAAACCTAAATTAGCACAAGCACTAGCACCTCCAGACATTAAACTGTGAAACCCATATCGCTTAATGTCATGAACAAATGGCTTGAAAACTTCAATAAAGAGCTCTAGAGTATGATAATGGTGTATTATCTTTACGTAAAACATAAACACCTTTACATTTGGTCAAATTACGAAAATAAACTCATCAGAATCGCCAGAAATATCAGCCCACTGCAAATATAATTCCATATTTTTTACTGGACACTTGTTCGAATTTGTACGAGCAATTAATACTGAATTGCCATCTCTGTATACGTCTGTTTTGCTATGTTGAATGAAAATTGACATATAACATTCTAAAATAACTATATCACTTCTTCGAATATTAAGCAACTCGGAAACTCTAAAAAAAACTTGCAAAAGCAGCGAAACACGCACAAATAATCCGCTGATTATACAAATTACCAAAAGAAAACATAGCATCATACATTTTATGCAGCAATTCTACCGAAATATGTTCCTTTTTATTTATAGGAGTAGCCAAGCTACGCTTCGCACCTTCTAGAACGTTAATTTCTAAAGACGAATCTGTCGGTGAACATGATGGGCCAATAAGAGACTGTATCCACTTTAAAGAGTAAAATGCTTGAACAACTGGACTAACAGTATTGCTCGACTGTGTCAAGGCAGCTAAATATGTAGCAACGTAAAAAGCTTTTTCTGATAAAATATCACCATTTTCAATTCCGTTTGATGCAGCCCAATTTTTCCATCGTAAAAAACTCTGATAATATCCTTTTGTAGTAGAAACTGCTCGAGATTCTGAAAGTAATCCTGGAAGTAAATTCACTTTACTAACTAGCGAAACAAGTAGATTCAGCAATTCTCCGGTAAATGCCTGCAAAAATATATTTGTAATTGAAAGGAGACATTAATAATGAAAAACATCTAATTGTCACTGTAACATCCGCAAAATTCATATCAAATCTCAACTCAAAATCTCACTGAGATTCAAATAACGCTTTTAATCTATAACAAGAGATTAAGAGAGATCTATAATACATGCTTACATCAAAGTGATCTAACTGGATGAAAAATCCATCCTTAATGCTAACATGCGAAAAGTCAAATCAACATTGCCAAATATAGCTTTCTTACTCTTACCAGCTATATAAGCATTTTTGTAAGTAGGAAGACCTATAAAATTTGTACCTCAGAAATGAAACCATCACCATAAGGACAAAGCATAGGCCAATAACTGGCAGAGGGCCAGTAAGGTAAAATTAAAGTACCAACAGCTTTATACTGCCACATATACATTAATACGCGTAGGATCAAAGAAACAGATGGAACGAACAACCCGTTGATCCCTCGCCAGTCAACCGAGAAAGCGTCAACACCTGATGAATTCACATTCCAAAATCTTGAATAAAATACTATCAAGTTAAAATTGTCATCAGAGGCAAACCAATCAACCTCATGAGGTCCCCAAAGGGATTCAACTATCTGAAATACAAATTCAGAAATAGACCAATCATCTGAATCAACAATCCGACTAAGATAATCTGCTCTCTCATTCTCAGTACGTGGAACCAAAACCATGTCAATATTAACATTGTGCCTTAATGCATGTGCTAAAAATGTCTAAAGCTAACTTTCGCAATACTGATTTTTGCTCCCTTTACTTACAATGCTAACAACATTTTGGTTGTCGGTAAACCATCTTATATTCTTGCCAGCTAAAAAGTTTATCAATGACAAAATATATTTTTCACTGCAGTTAACTCTTTCCATGTGGAACTTGTAGAAACCTCAGATTCTAACCACGTACCGTGAGCAATATTATATGGGTTTTCCACAATATAACCACCTGTATTGCTTGCATCACTATACACAATAGTCTGCCAAGAAACATCAGACTTAAAAGGTTTAACATTGGCTTCATGTAAATTAAACCTCCAAAAAATAATTTGATCAATACTGTCTACAGATAAATGTATATAACTGTTCAATGAATGAACACTATTTATATCAATAGACAAATGTTTTGTCATTAAATATACTATATTGTACGAAAGCCTATTAGGGTCACAAAAAATTTTTTTTACCTCGTAATTACGAGAAAATTATCGCGAAATTACGAGATAATTATCGCGTAATTACGAGAAAACTATCGCGTAATTACGAGATAACCATCGCGTAATTACGAGAAAATTATCGCGTTATTACGAGATAAGAAGTTTTATCGCGTAATTACGCGATGATTATCTCGTAATTACGAGATAAAAATGTTATCTCGTAATTACGCGATAGTTTTCTCGTAATTACACGATAGTTTTGTCGTAATTACGAGATACATTTTTTTTTTGTGACCCTTATAGGCTTTCGTAATATTGCCTATAACTGGAGACGTAGATATAATCTGTCCTACTAAGGAAGCTACCTTCCTTAAAAATACTTTTCCGTTTTTGGCTAAACACAAATTAATGTCTGAAATGGTATTCATAATCTTGTCTTTACGATTGTCAGGAATAGTCAAAACTCCTTTATCTGTTTATCAATGTTAGGGCCTAAAAGTGTGAGGTTTTTAATAGGTGTACACATAGACTTTTCAGCCTTGGGTGCAAAACCGCTACTTATTATATCTTTTTTAACCTGTATAGCCATTTGACTACATAATTCCTCATCGTCATGTACACCAAGTCCATCGTCTACGTACATAATAATATGCTTTCCTTCTCCTCTCCATTTTTTAATGAGTGGTCTAGTTATATTAGTAAAAATATAACAAGCAGTACTGAGACCAAACGGTAATACTAGAAATTTAAAATATTTTTTAACATCGTTCAAGTCCCATGCAAATCCTAGATATTTAGTATGAGGCGGGAAAATATCGACATGGTGGTAACGCAGAATGTACGTCATTCTTAAACATATATGAATTGGTATTAATGTAATGTTTTGCAATACGTATATCTTCAAACTTTACACTATGTTTCCATAAATGTCTGTTAATTTCTCTCAAATCTAATATTAAACGTCTTTTGTTGTTTGACTGAACAGGAATAGTTAAAGGATTCACAACAAAGGGAACTCTGACGTCTCTACAATTAAACCTCTAGCTAATAAATCAGTAACAGCCGATCGAACAAAATCTGCATTATTTAAAGCTGATAAATTATTTGACAAACAAATCGATATTGGATTTGAATAGAAAGGTAAAATATAACCATCTCTAAAAGTATCTATAATAAATTCAGACACACCAATATCTATCCAAAATTGAATGTTTCTGCTAAGTCTACCCTTAACAATAATATCAGATTGACCTAGTTCAAAATAATCATTTGTCAAATTATAATGAATATAATTATCTATAGGTAAAAGTTCAAGATAATTTAAATACTCATCTTTCAAATAATCACTGTGGTTTGGTTTGGGTTGCTGGTTTACTACTGTTGACGTATGGATAGCTGGACCGGTAGTGTGTGTAGGACCCACAAGAGTAGCACTGTCCCCTCTGCATCTTTCCAGCGTTGAAACCTTGCTAAAAAGGGAATTCCGTTGAGCCAAGGTTGCTGAGGCCCACGAAAGGGCTGCTAAACGAAGTTTGGAGCCTGTCCTAATAGCGACTGGTTGCTGACCTTAGATTTGGAACCAGTCCCCCTATCCTGCTTAGCCTTCACTTTCTTCTTACAGAAAGCTCTATTATCAGCTCGAATAATGTTAGCTTCATCCTCGGAATCACTTGCAATAGGATTGGCGTCATATTACCTTGCGGTATCCCAACCTCCTTCAGAGGTGTCCGCTATCTTAATAAGTTTGTTGCGATGCTTCATCTTGTCTATGGTAGAGGATAACAAATCACGGGTATAATCCACTTTCCCATTGTCTATGGCCCACAAAGTCTGAACAAGATCCTCGAGATTTTCAGTATTAAAGTTAAACTGAATCTTGTAACGTTCATATTTCCATTTATATGTAGCGTCTGTTTTAAGCTTCTTCACCTGGGACTTCATCAACTGGTTAGCACACTGCAACGCTTCTTTAAGTCCACCAATTTTCTCTGTCACTTTAGCATCAATGATTGCCTCGATATCTTTACTTTGTTGATTTACAGCAGTTAAAACAGTTCTCAATGAGATATCTGGTTCACCTTCATTATCCATGATTATATTCAAACATACTTAATCGACAAACACAGCTAGGTAAATTAACGTGACCTTTCGAGTAGACCCTGTCGTGCCGAATGATTTAACCGCCAAATCACGCAAAGCACTTAACCTAAAACGCCATCTATGGGCAGACAATTCAGAAGAAAATAATTTCATTCTAATTCACATACTCAACCGACTGAAATCATATTAATGATATTAGCTCTGAACATTTATTATTCTCTAAAATGAAACTGTTGTATGTGCTAATATAAAGAATATTTCAAACAAATTCCTATAAAGTTCTGAGAAAAAAATTTCATTTTATGTATCGAAATGTGTAACAAGTGATTTATTTATAAAATGTGTAACAAGTGATTGTTTAAATCCCCACTGGAAGGCCTCTGACAGACTGTTTGTCATCGGCTATCGATAACAATGATTTTACGCTCACTCAAGTTAAGTAATAGTTATACATCGAGGGATAGGTGTGTCTGGATAAGAAACCCCGTCGGCCGGAGGCCGGAGGGGTTTCTTATCCAGACACACCGTATCCCGAGGTGTATAACTAACTTACACCCCATTCTAAACCCTATATTTGTTAACATTGATTATTAAATGAATAAAAAAAAACGATAGCATATTTATTGACAATACCAAACCATGATTTATAAGAATTTTTTTTATTACATGAAACCCCACTAGTAACCTTTCTTTGGTTACCTTCGTTCAAACTTTGACAAGTGAGTATATTTTACAAATGTCAAGTTGTTTTGCATATTCCCGTTAAATCCTGTGCTAATAATGATCAGAGGGTCAAGGTTGACCGTTTCGTGTATTCTTATTACAAACAAACAATACATCATGTTCCTTGTATGCAGTTGTCAATATGGACGGGTATAAGACGGACGACATTTTGTGGCAAGCGTTGGATTTGGTAGAAGAGACTTAAGATAAAGGCAATATTATAACCCAAAGTACTGACCGGTATCAGTGTAATAAAGGTAATCATAACTGTATTTTATATCTTATGGTTTTATAACCCCCCCCCCCTCTTCTCGAGAATAAACAAACATTCATATTCGGACATACTAAGGGATAGGTGTGACCCGACTACCAGAACCGCTGAACATACAAAGATACAGATTTAATATTAAGGAACTCCCTTTTTGGGGGGCCAACAGGAGCTGATCCAGCTGGGGGATCCCAACTCAACAGAAAAAGGGATCCAACCATTCAAATGCATTGATCTTTTTGGGTCCAAACCGCGGAAACCCACCCCAAATCGGCCAATGGGTAACCGGGGGTGGGGGGGGGGGGGATGTGTCCCAGGAGTTAGAATCCTCATTTTTTTAAAGACCAATGCTTTAGAATAGAGACATATGACTGGGATAACAAAAATTACTTCAAGCAAAGGAGTATTTAAAGGATAATTTTTGTATTCAAAATAGATGCTTAATTCTTTTTTTCGCTATTGGAATTTCCTGAAATGTGTTTTTTAATATCTTGAAACAATTTGTAGTGAACACTATTAGTAATTTCTTATGTTCATGCTATTTAAAAAATAATCAATTTCTATTGTTACGAATAACAATAGACTTTGTTTGCGGGATGTAGAAGCAGGGGTTTCCAGAAACCCCGCTCGTCACACCCTGTGGTCAAAATCCTTTGTTATTCGTAACAATAGATCTATTCAATTTACACTTGTTTCAGAAATAGAAACTATGAAGTATAACAATAGAACTGGGGTGTAAAGGTAATTACACCCCAGTTCTATTGTTATACTTCATAGTTTCTATTTCTGAAACAAGTGTAAATTGAATAGATCTATTGTTACGAATAACAATGGATTTAGACCACAGGGTGTGACGAGCGGAGTATCTGGAAACCCCTGCTTCTACATCCCGAAAACAAAGTCCATTGTTATTCATTACAATTGAAATTGATTATTTTTTAAATAGCATTAACATAAGAAATTACTAATAGTGTTCATTACAAGTTGTTTCAAGATATTAAAAAAACACATTTTAGGAAATTCCAATAGCGAAAAAATATTAAGCATCTGTTTTGAATGAAAAAAAAATCCTTTAAGGGAAAACTAATTTGATTGATAGCGTTGAAAAACTAAATAAAATTGTTCGCAAAAAACCATACCCCCCCCCCCCCCCCCCCCCTTGAAGTTAAAATGGTTGCTCCCTTAATACTCCTTTGCTTGAAGGTAAAATGTTTGATCCCAGTCATATGTCTCTATTCTAAAGCGTTGATCTTTAAAAAAATCGGACCCCCCCCCTCCTAGATTGCCCCAAAAAGGGAGTTCCTAAATATTCAATTTGTATTTTTGTATGTTGAGCGTGTCCGGTGGTCGGGTTTCTAATCCAGACACACCTATCCCTCATGAATGTCTGTCTGCTTATTCTCGAGAAGAGGGGGGGGGGGGCTTTTTTTTATATAAAGCCGTAACATAAAAAATACATTTATAATTACCTTTATTAAACTGATACAGGTAAGTACTTTGGGTTATACTATTGCCTTTATCTTTAGTCTCTTCTTCTTAATCCAACGCTTGACTCAAAATGTCGTCCGTCTTATACCCGTCCATATTGACAACTGCATACAAGGAGCATGATGTATTTTTTTTTTGTAATAAGAATGCACGAAACGATCAACCTTGAACTGCTGATCCGTTAGCACCAGGATTTACCGGGAATATGCAAAACAGCAACTTTGACATTTGTAAAATCTACTCACTTGTCAAAGTTTGAACGAAAAATAGCCAAAGTAAGGTTATTTATGGGGTTTCATGTTTTTCTTATAAATCATGGTTTTATTTTGTCAATAAATATGCTATCCGTTCTTTTTCATTTAATAATCAATGTTAACAAATATAGGGTTTAGCATTGGGTGTAAGTTAGTTATACACATCGGGATACGGCATGTCTGGATAAGAAACCCCTCCGGCCTCCGGCCGTCGGGGTTTCTTATCCAGACACACCTATCCATCGGTGTATAACTATTACATGATTCGGTAGTATTGACAAGAAAAGAACTATGGTTGTCTACACTGTTACGGGAATACCTCTATTTACATATATAATATCTCTTATTGTTCATATGTAAACTTTAACCTACTGCTTTATTTAAATTTTGTAGAATCTGAGGAATGGAATTGACCACAAAAAATTAACCTTAATCACTGACAGTTGAAATAGGGTTGGGTTCACATGAACACCAGCACTTGTTTGAATTTTTTTTTAACTAGGACATATTATACCTTAGTGTTATATTTAGATACATGTATATAGATAGGATTTATAGGTTAAAAAAATTCAGAGACAAGTTGAACCTTGTCTGACAACACATGTTTACAAACCTTGGATCCCAAACATGTATACCAAATATAGTTATCCTAATACTCATAATATGCCAGAAATTCACTTGATAATATCACTACACAATTAGTTTTTTTAAGGAATCGCTGAACCATGAAAATGAGGACAATGGACATATGACTTGACAGAAACTTCTAAACATCAGGTTTCTTTATACATTTAAAGTATGAAACATCCATAATTAACATAAGGTTTCTTTGTACATTTTAAGTATGAAACATCCAGGATTTCTACCCTCTGAAATATAAAACTTTATATAAATAGTAAATGTTGTTGCCCGATTAGCATTCATGTCTTGTATTCTGTGACTTTTGTCACAGGCAGGACAAAACTGGAGACCATGAAGGAATTAAGCATGGTGATAGTCAGTAAATAAAAGGTACATTTATACCGAGGAAAACGAACGAGGAAGATAAAAGCGCATGTAGTCTTCCGTTCCATGTACATGAAATTTTCAGACGATCAGACAATCCGTTGTTGAGTTGCTGCCCCTGAATTAGTAATTTTAAGGAAATTTTGCAGTTTTTGGTTATAATCTTTAATATTATTATAGATAGATTTAAACAACAAAGTAAGATCTACAAATAAGTCAACATGACCAAAATTGTCAATTGACCCCTTAAGGAGTTTTTGCCCTTTATAGTCAATTTTTAACAATTTTTCGTAAATTTTTGTAATCTTTTACAAAAATCTTCTCCTCTGATACTATATAGACAAATTCAACCAAACTTGGCCACAATCATCATTAGGATATCTTGTTTAAAAAGTGTGTCCAATTATCCCGCCTGCAAACCAACATGGCCGACATGGCTAAAAATAGAACATAGGGGTAAATACAGTTTTTGGCTTATATCTCTGAAACCAAAGCATTTAGAGCATATCTGACAGTAGTAAAAAATGTTCATCAGGTTAAGATCTATCTGCCCTGAAATTTTCAGACAAATCAGACAACCCGTAGTTGGGTTGCTGCCCCTGAATCGGTAATTTTAAGGAAATTTTGCAGTTTTTGGTTATTATCTTAAATATTATTATAGATAGAGATAAACTATAACAGCAATGATGTTCAACAAAGTAAGATCTACAAATAATTCAAGGTGATCAAAATGGTCAATTGACCCCTTAAGGAGTTATAGCCCTTTACAGTCAATTTTTAACATTTTTTCGTAAATTTTTGTAATCTTTTACAAAATTCTTCTTCTCTGAAACTACTGGGCCAAATTGAACAAAACTTGGCCACAATCATTATTGGTGTATCTAGTTAAAATAATGTGTATGACAACCCCGCTTACCAACGAAGATGGCCGACATGGCTAAGAATAGAACATAGGGGTAAAATGTAGTTTTTTGGCTTATATCTCTAAAACCAAAGAATTCAGAGCAAATTTGACAGTAGTAAAATGTTTATCAGGTTAAGATCTATCTGCCCTGAAGTTTTCAGACAAATCAGACAACCCGTAGTTGGGTTGCTGCCCCTGAATCGGTAATTTTAAGGAAATTTTGCAGTGTTTGGTTATTATCTTGAATATTATTATAGATAGAGATAAACTGTAAACAGCAATAATGTTCAGCAAAGTAAGATCTACAAATAAGACATGACCAAAATGGTCAATTGACCCCTTAAGGAGCTATTACCATTTATAGTCAATTTTTCACAATTTTTTGTAAATCTTTTACAAAAATCTTCTCTTCTGAAACTACTGAGACAAATTTAACCAAACTTGGCCACAATCATCACAAGGGTATCTAGTTTAAACAAATGTGTCTGATGACCCCGCCTACCAACCAACATGGCCGACATGGCTAAAAATAGAACATAGGGGTAAAATGCGAGTTTTGTCTATTATTTTTTGAACCGTTATAAATAGAGAAAATCTGATTGCAGCAAAAATTTTCAAAATAATGAGCTCTACCAATTGTCCATATACGTCAAACCTGTTAGACAAATTCTTATAGGAGTTATTGCCCATAAATGACAAATTTTACCTTTTTTTCATTTTTGCCTTTTATCATGAAAACTATGATATTTAGAGAGAACCTTTTTTTCCGTTATGCTTTATATGATTTTAAT